ACTATTTCATTTTCATCATCGATGTAATTAATTTAAACTTGAATACAAATAAATTTGTAAATAACACAAAAAGTTGGCAAAGAAGTTGGTAAATCATTCTCAGAGAGCTGAAGTCCAAAAACTATTAAAAGTACCGCCCTTCACATTACTTTCATCGTAGGCCAATGTTAGGCATAGTTAATTCGTACTATAACTATCTGAAAATAAAATCCCAAGGAAATATCAATATAAAATAGGAACCATATTTAATATCATTATTACTATATATCTCTGCTAAAGACGCTTCATGTTTCATTTTTATTATCTTTATTTCAAAATATGATGATTATGTTATCAGAAAAAATTATTTGCAAGATTTAAAAAATCTCTTATTTTATGACCGAACTGAAATGTATCTAGTTATCTAGTTCTGCTACTCAAATAAAACTTATATATAAACTTGATAACCTCGCGATAGTAGCTTGCTAATTAAGGAACCGGAACACAATTTCAAAACATATTGACTCTATCCAATGAAATCCTCTACTGTCCGCTGTAGTTTTCAGGTCTTTCATCTGGAATTATAAATTTCATACGCATTTGAAAAATATCTTTTATTTCCGAGCAATCTATTTGCATTTGATGAATCATAAAATATTGTTAAAAATTTTCAATACGTTATCTGCAAAAAATTGAAATTCTTTTATAATGCAGGTTATACAAATATGAATGCTTTTATTATTACCAAATTTATGCATGTTGGATTATTGCAAATTACTGAGAAATCTTTGCTTATTTTCGGTTGTCTCCTACATCTGTTATTAAATTATTTTTTTCAGTACTTTCTTTGTAACTTATAAAGGTACATTAAGTAAAATTTTATTTAATTTGCAAATAGAATAAACAATTGCTGAATACAGTTATGTCTAGATTGCAGAAGACTGATGAATTGCAGTAAAGGTAATGCACGGCAGTAGGTAATATATGTAAGCAATTAAACATATAAATAAGCATAATAAACAAAAATGAATTTTTATTTACTATACTATAAGCGGTACAGAACCTGTTTATTTTAAACCTGTCTCTGGCTTGGTACAGACAGGCCTGTCTTTCTTCAGTGAAGTAACACTATATCGCATTAGATTCCTCGGTACCTTTTAGATATTGAAAATACATTTGAAGAAAAAAAGAGTAAAGGCAGCTGCAGATTGGTAGTAGCGAGGCGACAGAAGGAATGGGAAATGTCCAAGAGGAAATCTCGATGCAGAATGAACCAGTTTTCGTTAAGCTTCTATTTTGATTGGATACTTTTAAGTGTTGGTTACTAATTTGGAATTATTATTGGCTGAAGCTTTATGTAAATAACTGGATCATGAATGTTATGTAAGAATCACGTGAGGAACATCAGTTTTAAAATGGGCGCAGTTCAGATATATTTATTATATATAGCAGGTATTATTTTTAGGACAGAAATGGGAAATAATGAAATCAAATTGGAGACTCTAGCGGCTATTGAAAATAAAGGTTAAACTTTGTTTATGTACGATAAAAATATATAAAGCAAAATTCTAACTTTAATTTGCAATAGGGATTTAAGTCTCTTATTTAATTTGGCTATTTCTAATCTCTAACCCCAGAAGAATAACACATTTAAGTTTCAGACAATAATAATTTAAAAGTCTGGTAACTGAAACTTAACAATTAAAACGAAGTTAAAGGAAACAGAATCAATTTGAACCAAAGTTTCAAATTACGGTCTAAGCCAAGGGTAGACAAATAGTTTTAACCACGTGTCCAGAAGGTCTGGGCAGCCCTCCGCAGTAGAAATTTAGAAAAAATATTAAAAAAAAAAAAAAAAAAAAAAAAAAAAAAAAAAAATACGCTACAATGGATTCTTTTCCTATTGGCGATTAAATGACTGACATGTACGCTGTTTCATTTTTAAATAAAAATTTTGGGGGTGAAGTCTTCTTTCCCTAAGCTCTTTTTCCCATCAGTCTTTTTAACTCAATAATATTCACGTTTCATTGTTTAATTTCAAAATTAAAGCTGCTAGAAATTATAGGATTATATCCTTCGGCTGATGCAAATGCTTTCCGGCATATCTAGTTTTTGTAATTTAGGTTGATCGCTAGTATTGTCATGTGTACATGTGTGCATCGTAAAAATAGATGCGCACTCGTGTTACTGATTTCTGTATTTTGCATACGAAATTGGACAACCAAAATATGAAAATGTTGTAACACAGATTTCATTACTAGACGGTTTAAACAATAAGAATGGCTGCATTTGGCCCGAGGGCGGGCTTTTTTGCCCATCCTGGTCTAGGCACTTTTCTCCGTTTCTTCGTCCTGCTTGTTTGCTATCGCCAGAAAGAAAGGTTAAGAAGAATATGATTCTGTTTTTATTGCTATTGATTACTTAAAATTTTGGATTTCAGATTCTAATATTGTTACGAAATGTACAGGCGCGGTTTTATAGCTTCCCCGCAAAGCAGTTTTAGGGTTGCCATAAAATAGCAAGTGAAGGCAGGGTTACCACATTTGGCGAGAAATCGCCCATTTAGCGACATTTGGCGACAAAATTGGCGATATACCACGGACGGTTGGAGAACCTTTTGGAACGAATTTACCGGTTTAGCCCAGAATGTTCTCGAACACAAGCCGAAAGCTATATAAACCCTGCTGCCCGCAGTTAGTGTGTGTGTGTGTGTGTGCCTCGTCTAGCGAGCTGATAGTCAGTCATTGAGCGAGCGTCTCGAAGTCTAGTGCTGAGTTGGTCGTCGAGTGCATCGAGAGTGTCTTTTAGTGTATCGCGAATTAGTGCATCGTCGAGTTTTGTCTTAGACTGTGCTGAGTCGAGAGCTATACTCTTTTGCTCGTTGAGTGCAACGCGAGTTGTAGCGTGGAAAGTCTCGAGAGTACGTGGAGTTCCGAGAACGACCAAGCAGAGTCGGAAGCTGTACTCGGGTGCTTTGCAGTGAAGCTGTCTTCACCGTTATTGCCTGACAGTGTGAAGGCTGTGTAGTTGAACGTTTCAGCGTGTTTATAACAGTTCGCCGACTGTAAAAGTCATTTTTGGAGCTGTCCTGATTAATACCGATCAATAAAGTGTGTTTCGATACTTCATCAAGTAGTATTGTCATTAGTCACTCCAAATCCTCACGAACCCCGTACGAAGGATATAACGTAACAACTGGTGTCAGAAGAGAAACGCAACAATATTATTATTGACTGAAAAAGTTTCAGTGTTTTGTAAGTGTATATGCGCCATAGACGTTATGCAAGAAACTTACCACAAAGATTAATTCTGAAAAGACGCAGTTCAAAGAGGTTTGTTATAATCGTGTTATTATATTTAAGATAGGAAGCAAAATACAAAGATTAAACGGGACACTTAAACCGTTTGGTATTTAATAGTCAGTACTAATTAAATGGACTACTGTATTAAGAAGATAATTAATTTACATATAAACATGCTTTTTTATATGATTCATTGGAATCACATTACTTAACAATTAATGAGAGAAATTGCAGATCAAAGATAATGTGGAGAAAACTTCAAAGGAAAGCATAGGCCTACAATGCGCTGTCTGGCCACCTGATATAATGACGGTGATGATGATAAACATGTTTTTAACTATAATTTACGCTTAGTTTATTATTTAGAAGTGGACCAAATACTCATAAATACCTTCTACTCTTAATATACCTATTGCGTAAAGATATTATTTCAAAATTTAACATATAAATTATGGTACTGCTAAAATTTATATTAGCTTTTTTTTATATCACTAGAGTATACAGGAATATACTAATTTGCTCTTTTGAAGTAAAAAAAACTGAAACAGTAAACTGCAAAACAAAAAATGATGGGAAGCAAAACTGAAAAATTATTTACCTCTTCCTATTTAATTTTTCTTTGGAAAGAATCGCTTTCAATTTCTTCTTCACAGAATTGCTCTCAAATGCTTTTTTTCAGATGGCTAACATTCTAAGGATCGATAACATTAACGCAAATGATTTTAATTAAATTTTAGTTATTTTTTCTCTTTTCATATACATATTGTGTACAAAAAAAGAAAAATAACAGAAAAAAAAAAAAAAAAAAAAAAAAAAAAGATCTGGAAATAAGTCTTGTCACTTGCTCTTTGCCTCAGGAAAAGAAGAGGCAGGTTTTTTTTATACTATTCATTTTATTGCTTTCAATGATTGTTTTTTCATGATTCTCTAGATCCCCAATTGAATTATTGAAGAGCTGCTGTTATTGACAAAAGATTCATAGCATTGATTATTCATCAAGTCATCAGGGAAAACATCTTCACAAAGAAAGTACTCAGTCTTTCCAACATACACGAAGGTGGTTTATTCTTATTTTACCCCACGTGTATCATAAATTTCCACTCGTTTGATTGTATTATTGTTTCGTTTTCTGTTGCTAGTAAAATTCGATCAGGGACTTCAGACTATAATGATATTTTGATGTAATTATTTGAATTGTTAGTGATTATTTATTAATCTTATGGTGTCCAAAAGACATATATTAATATAATATGATTTTTGAAAACGCATGCCATTTGTATCACACAGCGTAATTCTCGAGTGTATGACTGAAACACTTCTTCTGCGATAAAGCTATAAATTCTCACAATGTTCTAGTATAAAGCTGAATCAATATGGAATTTTTGTAGAAGAGGATACGATCGAAATATTAAGTAATGATAAAAAGTCTGGAAAAAATTGACAAGTCTGGGAAATAAGAAGTCTGTGCTGTTGAAAATTTTGAAAGGTTTTCAGGGCTAGTCAAGGTTTCATACTAAAGCAGAGAGTACGATTATTACACAGTTTTAACTGGTTATCTTTTGCGCTTAAGATTTATCTTGAGTTATCGCTTATATATTAACCTTTGTCATGTGAGGACAATATGTTTATTTGATAAGCTTAAATACTTGAATTTCTTGCATATTTTCATACTTTTGAACTTCTGGTACAATCAAATCTAATAGTGCAGGAGTGTAGTGATTCAGATTTGCGATTTGTACTAATTATCATCAGTTACTGTAAGTATAAGATTATTACAAATATAATTTCAAAGTAATAATGTACAGTGAGCTACATTATATAAGTTTTATACTGAAAAAACTCCTCTCAACTTAGCGGCACAAACAACCCATAGAGAGCCATTCCGGCACTGCTCTGATATCTACTTTCTAGACCGTGGACTCTGGGGTGCTTGTGCATCTTGCCTGGACAAGTGGTCAGCTTCTCGCAGGGCACCCGGTGTTTAGTCCCCAAGCGGACTTGGTACTCATTTTATCGATTCCCTCAAGAGATGAAAGGCTGAGTGAACTTTGCCGAACCTATTCACAACACAACGAATATATTCAATTTATTAACATATAACTTTTATTGTTAACAATGGATATAATCAGGTTATACACAATATGTATTCTGAATCTTACACTTTAAAAATCAGAAGAATGCAAGCACTGAAATAAGAATACACTAGATTCACTGTAACACTTCCAGTCCTTCCCAGCTCAATAATAATAAAAAAAAAAACTATTGAATTCTCTTAATCCACAGGCGTTAGTAAATGCATAATACTCGATGCTCATTGTACCTTGAGTCATTTTCTCGATGTAAAGAGCGATAATATGCCGTGAACATCAATCCATTTATTAACGCGGGATAAAAATCGCGAAAGTGAAAATATCAGCGATTAATTAAGCTCATAAAACGGAAGCAGTACGAGGTTTTCTACTATTACTCCATACATTTATAACTTTGAAACAAATGCAAATTGAAACGTAAACAACACTCACACATGGACCTTATAAGAGCTTATAAAATTGCTTGTTTGCAATTTTCTATTAGTTCAGATTTAAAATATTATTTTCTAAAAGAAGTAGTTACAAATTTCCTAACAGCATAGGAAAAACTAAAAAAATATCCAGTCCTGAAAGCATGCAATAGCTTTATAATTATTTGGAACTTTAACTATGCTTGATAAATATGCTAAATTTTTAGAAATCAATCTCAATTTCAAAAATAAAAATATGTAGAAATTCTAATTTGTGAAATGAGGCGCTACAACCAGCCTTTTCTTGACAATTATACGCGCTGCAATAGGCAACCACTGTTAAATTTCTGCAAGTCCTCCGGATGTGATCAAGGTGACAGCGGGCAACGCCTCAGACGAGGGAGAAAACCCGTTTGGGTTAGTCTTTTTCTTATAAGGTCCATGCGCTCACATGCAGGAAGATTTAGCGTCACAAGAGCAATAGAAGCTCATTGGTCCATTTTTCGAAACCCCTCCCTCAGTGGCTACGTTAATGTGCACTTGTGAAATATGTTCCCCGCATGTTTCACACCCTCCCTCAGTGGCTACGTTGATGTGCACTTGTGAAATATGCTCCCCGTGACGCTGATTTACTAAGAAATAACACACGGTTCATTTTTTACTACCATTTGGCTTTGATATGTTGAATATACTGATTTTAAATATAAGATTTTATATTCTGTACCTTTAATTTTTTAATGGGTTAATAATTAATTTGTAATTTTGATCATATTGCTTTGCGTAAAACAGTTTCAGTTGTTGAAATAAAATTACTATCTTAAGATCAGTTTGTAAATTTTTTAATCTTATGGTTTTTATATTTTTTAAATTTCGGAAATTTTAATGTTGCCGAAACTCAGATGTGAAATTCTTCGAAATATTAGGGTATAATACGAAGTTTACAAATTAAAGAATTTTATCCTAAAAGGGACATTAATCTCGAATAGGATATTAGTCTCAAAACGGCTTTTGGAATTCAATATAAACGGCGTATCGCTTTTCAAATTGTTGCCAGTAAATATTATCGCCCTGTATTTAAAAAAGTGAACTAATGAAGAATCCGCATGAATGTATACATGTTTCTGGCACTGTTAAAAACAGCGGCAGCTAGAGCCATCAAATTTTGAATAACGTAGTCCTCCACCCGAACAGGGCACCTGGAAGTCCGAATTTTGAACTTCGAATTGTTTTATTATCTATTGAATAATTAATTACTGACTATTATTCTATTGAATAATTAATTACTGATTGAATAATTAATTATTGTTTTATTATCTATTGAATATTAATTCGAATTGTTTTATTATCTATTGAATAATTGTTTTATTATCTATTAAATAATTAATTACTGACGAAATTTTTAAATTTTATTAAAGTATTAACGAATTTTTATTAACAAACTCAACGATTTCAAAGCGAGCGGGGCAACACTGTTCGAAACAAAATATTTTTATCTCCAGCGAACCAGACTGTCTATCGGAAATTCTAAAGATACGCTGTTTCTAAATATTTTGTGATTTTCTTGTTGAATCAAATTTTTACGTGGCGCAAGCGCCAAGAACATGATATTTAACAAATAAAGTGGACACATAAAACGTTAATAATAAAAGAACAAAAAGACTTTTGTAAAGGCATCCTTAGTAAGAAAACTGAACACTGATATGATGAACTGAAAAAAGACTGGAAAAAAATAGGCAAAATGTATGCTAACACTTTTGCGCTGCATTGAGAATTCTAAAGTATGCTACTATGTTGCTTTTGAAATTTTTGAAATTTTCCTGTTCAATTATATATGGCGTAAGTGCGAAGAAAATGGTGCTTTATAATAAAGCTAAAAAGACAAAAAAAAAAAAAAAAAAAAAAAAAAAAAAAAAAAAAAAAAAAAAAAGGTTAATTGGAGTGAGTGTAACATCAGACGGGTAGTTTGTGAGCTCAGGGAGAGCTTAAAAAACCTTAACAAATCCTTTTGGGCAACCATTTAATCTAAACCTTTCAGACTTTTTTCCCCTTTTATTTTGCTTCAGGTCACTGCTTACTATAAAATTTGCATAGTATCTAGTTGAATCTGAAAATAAATCTAGTTGATATTTAAAATTAATTTTCTATAACTTTTCGGGAGGTAGTGTGTGGATACGAAACTTTTTGTGCTAAAATTAAGTAATAAGTTTTGATACAAATGGAATGAGACGTCTTCTGTCCTTTAGGGTTTCTTGATTAACGGGATTCTTCAATCTGATGCTATAAGAACGTATATTTAAAAGCACGAAATTTATTTTCTCTTTCTTTTGATACTGGAAATAGAAAGGAATTTTCTGAGGGGAAAAAACCTATTTTTCTAAGAATTCTTTACCGAAACTGGATATAAAGCTGTACTTAAAATTCCTTTACATTCTGTCTCTCTTCAGCCGAAAAAGAAAAGAAAATCTTGAGAATTCTTTGACTTTTTTGGTTGCAAGAAGAGATAAAAGACACAAATATTTCGTCTTCTTTCAAATTGTAACATCTATGAGTGTTTGCTTTTACGTCTTCGGAAGCACACTAAGATGTAATATTTTGCGTTTCTATTCAGCAGTTAAACAGCTAACGTTTTCAGTTTTTGTAAGAAATATTTGTGAAAGTGTGTATCTTTACATTTGCTTACCATTTTTTTTTCAGAGAGGGAGCATATTTCCGGCATCTCGCATAGACTATGCCAAATATGCACTTTTAACTGCATTTGGATCCGTTTTTTTGGATTCTTAAGAAAGTCAATATTTAGGAAGATTTTTAAAACCGGGATGAGATGGGGAATGCCAAGAAAAATGAATGCACGAGTGTTTTTTTATTTGCAAGATAACTTGAAATGCTGTGTTGAATATTCAGATGGATAACTGAAAAATCCCTTGGCAATTCGTGTACACAAAATCATGCACGAATGGGAAAGAAGATAAAATAATTTAATCCGAAAGCTTCCATTGCATAACAACATTGACAGAATCAAGCCATTCCAATTCTAACTGAAAACGATGAAAAGAATTTGTGAGAATTTGCTAAACTAGAATTATGCAGATAAGATAGCTCAAAAGATCCTGAAACGTGGAATTTTTAAAAGAATGCAATAAGACATATACATACACATTTTGTTCATAGCTAGATGATTTTAATGCAGTTAATATGTGAAATTGTCATATTTTTGTGTAATGTAACGCGAAACAAATTTTAAGGGAAGCTATGCCGGAAAAATAAGAACACAGGGGCATGTGCATTGAGTAAACCGGTATCTTGGTAATTCGGTGATATATCGCCAAGCTGACAACTGTTTACGACTTATTTTATCACCAAATTCGGAGAGAAATCGCCAAAAGTCGCAAAATTTGGCGACATTTGGGTCCGGTCCCTGTATCACCGTAATATGTATTGAAATTGAATAAATGTAATTGACCACTATGTTAGCTGTAACCGTAATTCTACCCTCATATTGTTTTCCAGTTATTTCGAGAAGCAGAGAGTACTAAAAATAACTAGCCGGCTGGTTGAAGACTATTTAAGGTCGAAGAGAGAGCATTTGCTCTCCTCTGTCAGATTACACTACTCACTTGGTTTTACTCTCCTGGTTTTCTTTCTCCAACGTTTGGTTTTTAAAACCTTGTTATGGTGTATGTTCACTCCCCTCTCTTCATCTCAGATCTCCTCTTATTGCGCCTGACTTATTACGTTATGTGCCTTTACGGCAGTCTTATCAGTGAGCCAGCAACATCGCACATATTAGCGATAGCCCGGCAATACCTGTATTGATTGAGTGAGTGATTTTGCTCTCAGTTGCTTAGTTATTGTTGTGCGAATCGTTAGTTTTGCGTGAATTGAGATATATCCGACTTAGCGTTTTCCTTAGATGCGCTTTTGCATTGCCTTGTGTTTAACGTTGTTTTTAGTAGTTTGAAGCATAACTACTGATTGTACTGTGTGATACTGTGACACCTGTACGAGTATTTACAGAACTTTGAAATGGTTATTTTGATAAAAGAAATTTTTATTAACCTATCATCGGACCTTTGTGCATTCAATCTATTACGAACCCGTACGCACGAAAAAATTTTATCGCATTTCCCCATGCATGCTTTCGTAGTGTGGGTGGTTAGCACGTACAACTATTAGTTGGAAAATTCAAAATCCAGTACACTGATATCCCCCATTTACCGGCTTTGAAAAATCTAATAATTTCTACAGTTTTCAAAATTT